CAGAAAGCAGAATCATATGGAGGGCCAGAAACGTCATCAGCACATCTAGACAGACGTTTGCTTGCGGTTCCAGTCTCCTAAACCTTGTCTCCTCCTCACGTCCCTCAGATGCCCTTCCTGTAGGCACAGCCCTGGCGGGTAATGAGAACACGTTGGTGCACAGAACTGTTACAGATTCTGCGAGTGGAGAACCTATTCCCTCTGTGTAGATTGAATCTGGCTTTTCTCTTGGGGTCAGAGCTTTGTTTCCTTTCAGCTTTCTTCCCCCACTTTCTGTGGTATCCTTCGCACCGTCTTTCCATGCACCTGCAGTGAAAACAGTACCGAGTTTCTTTTTGCATGCCATCCTTCCCGAAGGTTCCCTTAGCCGTAGAAGCAGTGGCAGCTTGAAAACATCAATCGGAAAGACACTTATTTTAAATCAGGATATTATATCTCAGATTCATGTTTAGCTTCTGTTACTTGAGGTTGGGATGAGAGTGTGATTTGAGAAAAATGCTTATAATTTTCTGAGTAGTTGAGTGTTCGCTAAAACTTTAAGTAACTCGATATTGTTGACTCCCACTTTTCCTCTTTGCTACCCCATCGGTGGTAGCTCAGGAGCGGCAGGATAAGATCAGTAGCATGCTGCTAAAATTACTTTGGTCACAAATAAACACATAACAGAGTGAGCTATCCAGGTTAGGACACCAGTGGTAAAACAGTCGATTAAAATATTCCATTGATTGGCATTTTTCAAGTAGTTTAGTTGGAGAAATGCTAATAAGTTTACACAATACCCTGAGCTTTTCAAGTATGCAGGCTTAGCACAACCTATTTATTCAGCCCTGGTTTCCCCCCTCGTGATTTCATCCTAGTGCCTCCCAGACCTTCCATCGAGAGAGTCTAGTTAGATCATTTGGTTTCTCCCCTGATTATACCTCATTAAATTTATTAGCATCCTTTTGCAGTATTATTAACATTAAGAGGACTAGTTACAGTGGTAATCAGAAGTGCTATATGTACAGTGCAGTTTCTGCCAGGACCATAATTTCCTAGCCCTAAATTTATAAAAGTTGTATCCTTCTTGTGCTATAACTCACTGACTGTGGCATATTCAATCAAAATTCTAACTCAGGAAACGTTTCCATTAATTGAACATTACCATCCTTCATTAACTTTACAAGACCTTTTACCAAGTCACTTGTGGCATAATTAATTTTTAATTTTCAACACTATACTTTTACATTAATTAACTGTGGCCCACTTCCTTTCTTTAGTCCTATAGATTTACTCAGATAAAAATACTGTTTTAGTATCGAATGGTCATTTTAAAAGATGATTGATTCTGTTAAATTTTATTTATTACTTCTGCCAGTGTTTTCATTTAACCACTTTACGTAGGTGTTGAATGTGGCCTTTAACTCATTGTTAGAAGAATTATAACTTGTTTCAGACTTTACCTTCAAATGTTAATAATTACATAGTTTTGACTTTTATTCCCCCTGGAGACAGAGCACAAACGAGTGCCCCCTCAGATCAGTGAGGATTCCCCGAGACCTCTGGAATCTAATGTGTCCGGTAATGCAAGTGGCGCTGTTTTGTTATTGAGTCAGCCGATGGAATGCCGAAGTTAACACAATTTTCTTGTGTGGCCGTGGCTGGGTAGCTGTTTGAGTTGTTCTCTAGCTTCTGACTTCAGTTTCATTTGGTAGAATATGTTACTGTTGGTACCCTGGTCTTTTTATCCGCCTTGCACAAGTACACCTCGAGCCTCCTGAGCGTTGGAACAAAGTATTACTGGGTTGGATTTTGGGAGCCTTTGGAAAGGTAAGCGGTGAAAGAAAGTGATGCGGTTATGAATTTGACAGTAAGTAGGTGCAGTCTCTGCACTGACTGGCACAGTGTGGACGTTAGATTCCTTTATTAATGAGGTGCAGTGCCATGGATTTTGGTTGCTCACAGGTTGGGGTGGGGAATGCCTCGAGAAGGGATTAAATTCAGATTAACTCCTGATGAGCAGGCTGTAAGCCAGTCAGGAAAAGCAGTCATGTCCCCAGGAAGGGAGGCCCTCTTTGAACTTCATAGTCTGTGATTGGATCGCCTCCTGCCTCCTGCCACTCCCCACCTTCTGTTTGTGCTAGATTTTCATCAGCTACTGAAGAAGGGAAAGAAAGCGGAACACATGTTGATTTTGAAGTTAAAAACAATCTTTAAAGCTTCTGATCACGGTCAGTACTGTGAGGACAAGTCTTGGAAGGGCTGCCTTGGTGCATCTGTCAGATTGGTGGGAGAAGTGAGTCAGCCTGCCCTCAGGCCTCTTCGTGAAAATAGTCCTTACGGTCCACTCTTCCCTGTGTGAAAGGGTTTGAGGAAGTGAGGTAAAGCAACCCTCGTAATCAGAGAGCAAAAGAAATGATTTAAAAGGAAAAATAAATGGGATTAATAGAAACATATTAAAGGAGCTGAAATTGTTTAGAAGAAAAAGACGACCTAGGTACTTAAAATAATATTTAAAAATCTGATTCTTTGCTGAGGGATATAAAAGGTTATATTTAAAATTATTTATTTTTGCAAGGATATATATATATACATGATACAGTGAAAAACTGTCTCCCCCTTGTTCCTCTTCTCTAGCTGTAACTTTCCCTTTGGAGACATCAGCTGTCACTGGTGCTGTCCTATAGGTTTTCTGCACATACATAGTCATGCGTGAATTGCAGCCTTTCGTACATACTGTTCTATGCCTTTACCTCCTTTCTTTGCCTTAAAGTGTGCCTTAGGGTTTGTCCATAGTATGACCAATAGGGTGGCCTTGTGTTTCTCACTCCACTGTATAGCATTCCATTCTGTGGACATTCCATAATTTAATTATCCAGTTTTCTGTTAATGGGCAAGTTAGGTTGTTTTTGCTGTTCTCCTTTGTGATTGTAAGGTTTACTACAATGAATATTTCTGTTCATCTTTTATTTCCACATGTGAAAATAAGATCATTTCCTGGAGGAGGAACTGCTGGGCCAAAAAAATATGTGTATTTTGAATTTTGGTAGATTTTGCCAAATTGCCTTGCACAGAGGTTATGCCATTTTATACTCCCACCAACAGCGTATATTTAATTTCCTACATCTTGTTTCAGTTTGTGAAAACCTTTAAAAATCTTTGCCTGATAGATTAAAAAAGGCATCTTATTGTGGTTTTGTGTTTCTGTTATGAGTGAAATTAAATACTCATTATGTTTTAAGGTTCTTTTATATATTTCTGTTATTATTCTGTTTATACTCTTCGCCTGTTATCTTTTGGGTTGTTGAGTTTTGCATATAAGTAGGAACCTTTTATATAGTAAGGAAATTAACCCTGTCTGATATGTTCCAAAATTATTTTCAATTATTTACTTTTGGCTCATAGAGACATTTTATATATGTTGTATATAAATGGTCTATATCATATATAGTATACACACACACACNTGGCTCATAGAGACATTTTATATATGTTGTATATAAATGGTCTATATCATCTATAGTATACACACACACACACACGTATGCACAATATACTATATATACAATATACATATTTTGTTTGGCGAAGATTTAAAAATGTATCTTTTTTATGGTTTCAGGGCTTCTTAAAATTATTCTTGGAAAGGACTTTCCAACTGTGAGATGATAAAAGCTTTCCCGTGATTTTCTTTTATGGTTTTATCTTTACATTTAAATCTTTGCTCCATTGGGAATTTATTTTGATGGGTGGAGTGAGGAAGGGATTAAGTTTCATCTCTTCAGAATCTCTGGAATATGATAGGGGATTTATGGCATAGAGGGACCTCAATAATACTTTAATTTTTAAAATGATTATTCAGGCCAAAATTTGCTATGGATTTGTCTTGAGTGGAAATTATTGGACTAGTTTGCAAGATATCTCTGTGTAAATTGTTCAGGAGTTTTTCCCAGATTTGCGGCTATCAAGAACTGTTTGTTTTCTAAATCTGCTCCCAGGCTTGAGAATGAATTTTGGTTTCTAGCAGAAATACATCTGATGACCACAGTCCGTAGAATAAACTTATGTAGAGTTTTGAAGCAGCAAGATGAGAACAGTTACACATGTAAATTGTAATTTTGTTGGAAAGAAAAAGTATTGTACAAATAAAGTTGGCTAGAAGGTCCATTTTCCTTATTTTCAAGTATGAAAATCCAGGAGTATCCCAGTGGATGCCTTTAATAATTTTTTATGTGGTCAGATTTAATAGAAAATCAGGGCTCAGCAGTTTGCCGTTGCTCAGTTGAAAGGCAGAGACCTATGAATAGCTGACGTGTCCGTGGAAGGCGCCAGCATGGCCGTCTTCTAGGTAACAGGTGTGTTCTTGCCAATGCTGTAGATGCCGTACGTTTCCACCCAATTCCCAGAAAGTCATTTTATTGCTAGTATTGGTGTCTGTATTATAAATTATATGTAAGAATGTGGCATGTTTTTTATTTGATATATTTTCAGCATCTTTTAACTCAGGATGCTTTTTTTTTTGAAGGCCATGGACAAGCCTGGCTGTGAATGTCCTGCTTTGGATACCTGAGCAGAGGTGTATGTGGCAGTTATTACGGAGGGGCAGGGAAGATGGGTGTGTAATATTAGAAAGCGTGAAGCCGGGCAGGTCCCTAGACGTATCTTCTCCAGAATCGTTGTCCTCTCTAACTGTGAGATCTGTAACTGTGCCTCTCATTGTGGTTGGCCCCGGAGAACTTTACATGTCGTGTTATCTTTTCTAGTGTCCTGTTTATTTTTCTTAAGTCTGAAATAGCAGAAGGATACGAATAAGAAAAGCCTACATTTTTGACAACATCTATTTTCACCTTAACTGGATACTTTCAGAAGAGACAAATAGTGATTAAATAATAAATAATGACTGAAAAATCACTGTCATTTGGGTCCTGCCTGTGGTTATGTAGGTCACGGGGCCTGAGGCGGTGGGAGGCGTCCGGATGACAGGTGTAGCAGTCAGAGGCAGTGAGTATGCGGTGTGTGATTTCCTGTGTTTGCCCCACTGTAATTACCCCAGTGCATAATAGACTGTGGCCCAGCGCGATCACATATCTCTGGCGTATCGGCCACACACCCGGGTGTCCCTAAATAGAGCTGAACAGCCTGGGCATTGCTGTTCTTGATTCCATGCCTTGAGGTAAACTTTTGAACATCAAATGGAGACGGAAAGTGAGAGCAGCACTGTAGGAGATGACAGTGTCTTTTGGTCGGACGCTGAAGTTATTACCCGGGTGGCTGACAGGGAAGCGGCAGAAGGGGAGGACAATTTCAGGTAACTATGGAAGTCTCGGCTCTCTCTCACCTTTGTTTCTCTGTTCCCCCCACCGGCCCCTCCCCATGCTCCGCGTTCCAGTCTCTCCCGAGCAGGGCTCTCCTCTGGAGCAAGGCTTGGCGCCGGAGAGGACGGGTTTCTAGTTGTACAGGGCGCGCTCCCTTCCACGGCTCGTCCTGAGCTTGTAAAATGCACTCCGAGTGACTTGTTAGAACACCGCAGCAGAGGTGCTCGGCAGGTTTTGTAGTGGCATTTCAGGAATTTCAAGTACAGACTCAGTGAACCACTACCCCTTCCTGTACCCCATCTGTGTCTGATAGATTTAATCTGAATTTGAATATGATAGGTTTTTCTTTTTCTTTTTTTAGAGAGAGAGCATGTGTGTGTGTGGCTGCTTTCGTTCCCTTATTCAAGCGTGTGAGGCATTTTCGTTAAGTACAAATTCACTATTTCATGGTTGTGATCCTTCCTCCTGTCCCTGACCTTATGTCGTACTCCACCCACCGGTCTTCTTTGGTTTGGAATCGCCCGCTGTACCTTCACAGCCGAAGTTGTTAGCGGTGCCCCCGGTCCAGCAGCTCTCGGAGGTCAGCGGTGCTGGCGAGGAGAGAGGGCTTCCCCAGCCTGTGCCAACAGTGCTGTTTGTTTATTAATTCTGTTGCGCTGTCTCAGATTTTAGGAGGTTTCATTTTGGCTTTTCTTTTTCAAACGGGGTTAGTAGTACATATTTGTCGCTGCCACCCACATGGGCAATTAAACAATCTTTTATAATTTTACCTGCGAGTACTTGGGAGGTGAACATACCATTATTTTCATCAGATCTTGTCTTTATGTTTAACGTTCAAAAAGAGTGTCTCCCTTTCTCAGGTTAAAGGGTTTCTTTATCCACAGGTTTTATTTTTAGAGTTAAGTGACAAAAGAGATTGGATATTAGGAACTCTTGATAACTCACACTAAGTCTTCTAATCAGTGGTTAAAGTGAATAAGAAGTCTGTTTTAAATTTTAAAGAATAATTTAATGTTCAAAGGAAGTATTTTATTAGCACCTGAACTTCTCGTGCCAGCTTCCTCATTTTCTCCATAATTCGGTTCAGCCTTTCCTTTTTGAGTAAGCCGCTTTTCTCCCAAGGTGTGTACTTAGTTTTCAGTATGGTCATTCTCATGAACAATTAGTAGGAACAAAATATTTATTTTGTTTGTACTTAAACTGTTTGACCTGGTGTTAAAATTGTGAAGGTTGTTTTGGGGTACCTGTCAAAGGAAGAAACAGCCTGGGCTTTGTTGTTATAATAGGTTTGGTACTGGGGACCCCAATGAGCTTATTAGGCAACAGTAGCCTTCCTGGGATTGTCTTCTGACAGTTGAATTTCGAAGCAAATGTGTATAAGATTGAGCTTTTCCTCAGGACTCTGACAGCATTTTCATCCTAAGCAGTGGAGGGACTATATGCATTGTTTTAGGAAACCATGATTCCACAGGGTGTGTGTCCTGTTTACAGTGGTATTTCGTATCTGAATATCATCATGGCTCTCCCAACAAATTATGTCTTTGAGATTTGCTCTTATTTTATTTATAAAAGCAGCAAAGAGCTCAGAAGATGAACACACAGTTTAAGGAAGTATATCATACTGTTCAGCAGGAGGGGCACCTCAGGGTGCTTTCACAACAGTCCCGGCACTGTTCCAGCTGAAATGCCTAGCAGGAAAACTGTGGGTGTCTGAGGTGAAGGGTTAGAGAGGAGGAGTTGTAGCTGAAACTTTGGGAGAACCAAATAGTAGACTCAGTGTAATATATGGGAGTTGTTTTTGTAAAATCAACTTAATAATTAAAAAAATACACAGAAAAGTCTATGCTAATACACATTAAACCAAACTGACAATTATTGAGTACATTCTAGTTAATTTCCACTTATACACACACATGTACACAAACAGTGAGGGCAGAAGATTGTACACTATCTCTTTTCTCTGAGAGCTTCTAAGCTAGGTTTTCAGTTCATTCTTTTTTTAAAAAATTTATCTTTATTGTTGAAAGCATTATGGATGTCCTCTTTTCTCCCCATTTATCCCCTACACCCTGCATCTACCCTACCTCCAGGCCTTCCACATACCAATGTCTGTGTCCATAGGTTATGCATATAAGTATATAAATTCTTTGATTAATCTCTCCCCACCCAATCCCCACCCCCACCTTCCCTCTGAGATCCCTCAGTGTGTTCCATGCTTCTGTGTCTCTGGATCTGTTTTGTTCATCAGTTTATTTTATTTATTCCACATATGAGTGAGATCATGTGGTACTTGTCTTTCTCTGCCTGGCTTATTTCACTAAGCATAATACTCTCCGGTTCCATCCATGCTGACCCAAAGGGTAAGAGATCCTTCTTCTTTATAGCCACATAGTATTCCATGGTGTGAATGTCCCACAGCTTTTTTATCCACTCATCTACTGATGGGCACTTGGGCTGTTTCCAGTTCTTAGCTATTGTAAATTGTGCTGCTATGAACTTAGGGGTGCATAAGTTCTTTCTGATTGGTGTTTTGGGTTTCTTAGGATATATTCCTAGAAGTGGGATCACTGGGTCAAATGGCAGTTCCATTTTTAATTTTTGCAGAAACTCCATATTGCTTTCCATACTGGCTGCACCAGTCTGCATTCCCACCAGCAGTGCACTTTCAGTTCATTCTTAAGTAATAGCATTATGTCATGAGGCACCATGGCTAGGAGAGCAGTCATGCCCCACCTAGAATGCAGGTTCTGGTGCTTCCAGCTCTCATCAGCTTCAGGAGGAAGTACTCAGACAGGCGTTAATGTTTGTCTAGTATAGCATTTATTTTTGGACTCGGTTGGAGGAAAGGATACCTTTCTTACAGTCTAGCACTGTGGGAAGTTGTCCGATCTCCTTCATGGCAGTAGTTCAAACATGTTTACCAATGAGTCACAAATCTCTCATTTTTTGCTTTCTAATTTGTAGAATGAAGTTAATATCTACCATATCACTGTGGTAAATAGTTCTTGGACTGAATATTTAGAGATCTTTAGGGTCCTTAGAGTTTTTAGGGATTATCAGAAGGAGAATGTGAGGCAGAAAAGGAAAAACAAATGTTTCAATTCTTTTAAGAAAGAAAAATTTTATTCAGGAGTTTTTATATGCAGCGTACTAAGCCAAATATGTTATATACAGTATATCAGTTATCTGCCTATCGGCCCTATGTAGTAAGTCTTATTTTTTCTATTTTCCAGGTAGGAAATTAGGGCTCACAAAGCCAATTGACCATATTGCCAAAAATAGTAGAGCAAAATTTTGAACTCAGATATAACTGATGTTGAAAGTGAAAGACTTGTTTTATAAAAGATTTTTGATACATCTGCTGCTAAATGTTATTATTAAGTAGTAATAACTTTTAGAGACTGTAGCTGATCATCTCAGTCGGAAATTCCTTCTTTGAGGAGTTTTTGAGCACCCATGATATATAGATTGTTTAACCAATACGAAAGTGAATTAATGCATACAATAATGTGACCTCTTGAAGATATGACCTCTAGGACACCTAGGAATTATTTCTAACTCACAACCATGAAAGGTTCTAGTTCTGGGGCATTTGAAGGTAGAAATACTTATATAATCTTTCTTAGTCTTCTATAGTATCATGTGATTGGCAGATAACATAGCCTGGCAAGTATGACATATAGTTTGAAACAGTTACATAGATAATATAGTGCACAATTGAACCACATTTTTAGAACTTGTATATCTTTTTTTATTTTTTAATCCTCAACCGAGAACATGCTTAGAGAGAGGAAGGGAGAGAGAGAGAAACATCTATGTGAGAGTACAACATCCATCGGCCGCCTCCTGCATGTCCCCTCCTGAGGATCGAGCCAGCAAGCCAGGCCTGTGCCCCGGCCTGGAATCGAACCCGCACCGTTTCAGTGCACAGGACAAGGCTCAGCCCACTAAGCCAGCCTGGCTGGGCAGAACTTGTATATACTTAAAATTAGAGTTTGCAGATGCCCAAATCTCTCAATCAGCCCTTCACTTGTATCTCCATTGTCTGACAGTTGATTTTAGGCGAGACAAGAAACTAGATGATGTGGTGAACATGTTTTAATTTTCTTGGAATATCTATCTGTTATGGCATCCTGGACTCATACAGTTCAGGGACCTGATTGGTTGGGTGGGTGCAGTGCAGATGGGTAACGGCTGGGGATATGCTGTTATATTTCCCCTCATTCTTGTTTTGAGTCACATCGAGGACAGTGTACTGAAATGGCTAAATCTTCTGGAAGCCCATACAGCTCTCTCATGATTTTCTGCTTTCAGTACCATGACTGTCCCTTTGTCTTCTGTAGAAATTCTTGATTTGGGGATTTTCAGTCAGTTTTTATGGTCCTGGAAGGATAGGTAGCATTAACAATTAACCATTGACATATATACTAATATCACACCCAGACCTACTTTATACTCTGTGACTTCTCATAGGCACCTCATCCTTAATAATCCAGTATGTACAATACCAAAAAAAGATGTGCATTTTGCAAAAAAGGTTATATTTATGTGACTTCATAATCTTTTATGTGTTACATAGAGTATAGTTTAGCCCCTCACATACTCTTTAATATTAAATGTAACTTTCACCTAACATATTCCTACCAGTGTCACAAAAATAATAAATTTAGTTGCATCAGCAGGGTCAGATGTGAACATTACTTAGTCTCAGAAAATTTTATGCCATATTGGAGTACAGCCATTAGCCCGACTGTCTTTATAATCTGTGAAATGAATCTGTCTTAATCATGAGGCATGCTAGTACAAGACTTTCTTGGTATTTCAGTCATTAAACTCTTTGCAATGGAATCCAAGCTGAACCTTGCTTACATCTGTCTGTATAAGGTTTTTGAAGCTCAAGATGGGACTTAACGCACAGAAACCATATAAAACTATATAAAAGTTCCTAGTTAAGTTGTTCATGTACAGTTAAAAGTTTAAACACCTATTATTC